TATAAAGATATATAACATACCCCTCCAAACTACCAATATCCCAAACCCTTCCTTTAAAGTGCAGGTATTGTACTTCCCATTACAGGTACTCAAGTCCAGCTATATAAAAATAACTGGTTTCCCTGACTCCCTTCACTAAATATTACCCTGCTCACACTCCAACAGCTCATCCTTAGCTCATAATGAGTGGTGACTCTTTATTGTAGGAATTCTGAATAAATGAAGAATGGATAAAATTGAAAACATCTGTATTAGTGAAATGCTCTAAAGTGGGGCCCTCCCGCACTGTGTAATCTGCCTAATAGTTGTTGTTTTTACAAAAATGCATCTATTTGTACAACAGTATGCTGTATATCTAAATGATGATCTCTTCGCAGGTACTGGTGCACGCTCAGAGACGACTGGCAAGTGTGAGTGATAAAAGACTTTACTGGCTGAAAGAGCAGTATCTTAAGCTGTATTTCGAGGATGAAGCCTGCAGTGGTCCCAAGCCTGCTGAAGCTATTAAGGTTAGTAGGTCTCTGGCTGTATGCACTGGGCAGAGATGGATAACTAATTAAAAATGAAAATGCTGGGACCTCGGAAAATGCTAGCTACTGCTATGCACAGGTGCTCCTTGACTTAGGTTGGTTCAGCTCGCGGCATTTCTACTTTACAGCGGTGCAAAAGCAATTACATACTTTGGAGATAAAACCTGAGATAATTACCCAGCATGAAGGTGGCAAGACCATAATTTGTATTCATTTGTTTACTTTCCAATACACTGTACTGGAATTTAGTTACAATAATTATTTGTTTCTTGACTTATTTAGTGACAGTAGTTATTTATTTACTTATTTAGCATATAATATTCATATTTGACTAAAGATATCTTCAACTTACAATGGGTTTGTCAGAAAATAACCCCATCGTAAGTCAAGGAACACCTGTACAGCATTGTAAAAGTCAAGGTGTAATCCTTCAGTTAGTAATACAACTTTTCGTTAACTAAGACACTGTTTACTCATTCTAAATCATTAACATATTTCAGATCTTTGGTGGAAGAAATTGGGTTACATCTACTGCTGGCAGCATGTCTCCACAAGACCCGGTAGCTGGCAAGAGGAGTTCAGGCTCAACTAGGTTAAAGAAACTAAAATCCCAAGCAACCATTAATGTTGCAAAGGTAAGGTTAAATATTTGTTTTAAATACCCATGTACTGGTGGCCTGGTGGTTAACGCTCTCGCTTCACACGGTGAGGGCCTGGGTTCGATTCCCAGCCAGAGTAGAAACATTGGACGTGTTTCTTTCCACCTGTTGTCTATGTTCCCCATCAGTAAAATGGGTACCTGGGTGTTAGTCGACTGGTGTGGGTCGCATCCTGGGACACTGACCTAAGGAGGCCTGGTCACAGACCGGGCCGCGGGGGCGTTGACCCCCGGAACTCTCTCCAGATAAACTCCAGATAAACAGTATCCACTACTTATGTTGTGGAGGTGGGAAGTGTAGTGCTTGTACAGTACTCTAACAGAGTAGTGTACAAACTCTAATGGAGTACTGTACAAGCTCTAACGGAGTACTGTACAGGTATTACACTCAGGAATGGAATTTTTTCTTCACTGTGGGTTCAGAGTTTTTCCCTAAATATATTATAACAGTAATGAGACCCGAGTCCTGGTGGTTGGAAAGGCAGTGCCTGCACTCTGAAGGAGGGCAGTGCCTGCACTCTGAAAGAGTGATGGGCTTGTTGTAGTTGGATTGCCAACTGATTTGAGATGTCAACACACTTCTGACAAGACAGGAGCAGTTGAATGAATGATGGTGAATGTGTTTTCTTTGGGTTACCATACCTTAATTAGAGATGGCTGTTGAGTGAAAAAGAAAATCCGAGGGTCATTTGAAGTGTGATGTATACCTGGATAAGGTTTTGGGGGTCAATGCCCCCACAGCCGGGTCTGTGACAAGCTCACACTTCTAGAAAAGAGAGCGTATGAATGGGTAATGGTGTAGTTTAATAAGACTCATGAACAAACATTGAGACATATTTATCAGAAAAAGTTTCAGTCCTGGGACCAGCGATCAAGGTCCCAGGACCGAAACATTTTCTAATAAATGTGTCTTAGTGTTTGTTCACACGTCTTTAAACCAGTTATCCAGTATCAGTTACCGAGTAATAGTATACGTGTTTTCTTCTTTGGGTGGCCCTTCCGGGGTGGGAATGGCCAGTGTGATAAAAAACAAAAATACAGTGGACCCCCGCATAACGATTACCTCCGAATGCGACCAATTATGTAAGTGTATTTATGTAAGTGCGTTTGTACGTGTATGTTTGGGGGTCTGAAATGGACTAATCTACTTCACAATATTCCTTATGGGAATAAATTCGGTCAGTACTGGCACCTGAACATACTTATGGAGTGAAAAAATATCGTTAACCGGGGGTCCACTGTACAGTGCTGCATTATCTCGATCAAGATGGTCTACAAAGGTGCTCAACTCTGTCATTCATAACAAATGTTCGGTCAACATTATATCGTTACTTCAAAAGGAAAAAAGTCATAAAATAAACATATTTTTTCATGGAAAATTCATAAACTTTGATATCCATAGTTGTACTAATTCAGCAAAAGGGGTTAAGATGTTGAGTACAATTAATTAATTCTTTCTAAATAATTAAAAATTTAGCCTAAATATGTTTTATGTATTATTTATTTCAACATTCAATTATTGTATAGTACAGTGGACCCCCGCTTAACGATCACCTCCGAATGCGACCAATTATGTAAGTGTATTTATGTAAGTGCGTTTGTACGTGTATGTTTGGGGGTCTGAAATGGACTAATCTACTTCACAATATTCCTTATGGGAAAAAATTCGGTCAGTACTGGCACCTGAACATACTACTGGAATGAAAAAAGTTCGTTACCCGGGGGTCCACTGTACATTGACATAAGGTCCTGAATATAACAGTAACTTTTATAGTTGTCAGTATAAATGTTCCTCTATTGGATGTTCATGAATCATGTTTGTGCTGCCAGATGGGAATGAAAAGACCTGATAATTATAATAATAATAATGAATTTATTTCCCAATAGATACACTAGTTTGTTAATATTATTACAAGGTCAGGCCAAGAGTTATCCATAGAACTTCAGGCAAACTTAAGATAGGATTAATACTAACAATAGACAAAATATGAGCTGTGATGCCACTATGCCTTTGGCAACACAGTAATTGAATGAATGATGGTGAAAGTGTTTCTTCATTTTCAGGTCACCCTACCTTGGTGGGAGACTGCTCTTTTAAGTAACTATCAAAAGTAACTTTTTTTTTGTTTCCTGATATTCCTGCATCCTGTATACTGGCTGTATAGGGCTAACACTTTAACCTCATTATTTTATTTGTAAAAATGTTTTTAAGCAATATCTTTTTATTTTAACAGGATGGTACAAAAATTCCTGATGAATCTAGAATGGCGCCATCTCCAGTTCTTTCCACTAGCAGCCGGCGTACAATTGTTCCTCCTGTTCATTCATCTCCACCTCGTTCACGTTCGTGTGAAGCTACCTCTGAACATTTAATTGGTCCGGTTACTTATGCACCTGTTATTCACTCTCCGGCTGTCCCCAGAGCTTCGTATGATATTGCTACTGGCTTACCTTCCCCTCCACAACAAGCAATTGGTTATAGGTTTGTAAACTTTAATGTTATTAACTACAGTACTGTACACAAATATCCTGCACATAGAAGAAAGAAACTTGTGATGTTTTGGCCCAGCTTGGACCATTAATTAGTCACACACTGTGAGACTAGTTAATGGTTCAAGTTGGTAGCACACTGTGAGACTAGTTAATGGTTCAAGTTGGTAGCACACTGTGAGACTAGTTAATGGTTCAAGTTGGTAGCACACTGTGAGACTAGTTAATGGTTCAAGTTGGTAGCACACTGTGAGACTAGTTAATGGTTCAAGTTGGTAGCACACTGTGAGACTAGTTAATGGTTCAAGTTGGTAGCACACTGTGAGACTAGTTAATGGTTCAAGTTGGTAGCACACTGTGAGACTAGTTAATGGTTCGAGTTGGTAGCACACTGTGAGACTAGTTAATGGTTCAAGTTGGTAGCACACTGTGAGACTAGTTAATGGTTCAAGTTGGTAGCACACTGTGAGACTAGTTAATGGTTCAAGTTGGTAGCACACTGTGAGACTAGTTAATGGTTCAAGTTGGTAGCACACTGTGAGACTAGTTAATGGTTCAAGTTGGTAGCACACTGTGAGACTAGTTAATGGTTCAAGTTGGTAGCACACTGTGAGACTAGTTAATGGTTCAAGTTGGTAGCACACTGTGAGACTAGTTAATGGTTCAAGTTGGTAGCACACTGTGAGACTAGTTAATGGTTCAAGTTGGTAGCACACTGTGAGACTAGTTAATGGTTCAAGTTGGTAGCACACTGTGTGGACTAGTTAATGGTTCAAGTTGGTAGCACACTGTGAGACTAGTTAATGGTTCAAGTTGGTAGCACACTGTGAGACTAGTTAATGGTTCAAGTTGGTAGCACACTGTGTGACTAGTTAATGGTTCAAGTTGGTAGCACACTGTGAGACTAGTTAATGGTTCAAGTTGGTAGCACACTGTGAGACTAGTTAATGGTTCAAGTTGGTAGCACACTGTGTGACTAGTTAATGGTTCAAGTTGGTAGCACACTGTGAGACTAGTTAATGGTTCAAGTTGGTAGCACACTGTGTGACTAGTTAATGGTTCAAGTTGGTAGCACACTGTGAGACTAGTTAATGGTTCAAGTTGGTAGCACACTGTGAGACTAGTTAATGGTTCAAGTTGGTAGCACACTGTGAGACTAGTTAATGGTTCAAGTTGGTAGCACACTGTGAGACTAGTTAATGGTTCAAGTTGGTAGCACACTGTGAGACTAGTTAATGGTTCAAGTTGGTAGCACACTGTGAGACTAGTTAATGGTTCAAGTTGGTAGCACACTGTGAGACTAGTTAATGGTTCAAGTTGGTAGCACACTGTGAGACTAGTTAATGGTTCAAGTTGGTAGCACACTGTGAGACTAGTTAATGGTTCAAGTTGGTAGCACACTGTGAGACTAGTTAATGGTTCAAGTTGGTAGCACACTGTGAGACTAGTTAATGGTTCAAGTTGGTAGCACACTGTGAGACTAGTTAATGGTTCAAGTTGGTAGCACACTGTGAGACTAGTTAATGGTTCAAGTTGGTAGCACACTGTGAGACTAGTTAATGGTTCGAGTTGGTAGCACACTGTGAGACTAGTTAATGGTTCGAGTTGGTAGCACACTGTGAGACTAGTTAATGGTTCAAGTTGGTAGCACACTGTGAGACTAGTTAATGGTTCAAGTTGGTAGCACACTGTGAGACTAGTTAATGGTTCAAGTTGGTAGCACACTGTGTGACTAGTTAATGGTTCAAGTTGGTAGCACACTGTGAGACTAGTTAATGGTTCAAGTTGGTAGCACACTGTGAGACTAGTTAATGGGTTCGAGTTTGGTAGCACACTGTGAGACTAGTTAATGGTTCAAGTTGGTAGCACACTGTGAGACTAGTTAATGGTTCAAGTTGGTAGCACACTGTGAGACTAGTTAATGGTTCAAGTTGGTAGCACACTGTGAGACTAGTTAATGGTTCAAGTTGGTAGCACACTGTGTGACTAGTTAATGGTTCAAGTTGGTAGCACACTGTGAGACTAGTTAATGGTTCAAGTTGGTAGCACACTGTGAGACTAGTTAATGGTTCAAGTTGGTAGCACACTGTGTGACTAGTTAATGGTTCAAGTTGGTAGCACACTGTGAGACTAGTTAATGGTTCAAGTTGGTAGCACACTGTGAGACTAGTTAATGGTTCAAGTTGGTAGCACACTGTGTGACTAGTTAATGGTTCAAGTTGGTAGCACACTGTGAGACTAGTTAATGGTTCAAGTTGGTAGCACACTGTGTGACTAGTTAATGGTTCAAGTTGGTAGCACACTGTGAGACTAGTTAATGGTTCAAGTTGGTAGCACACTGTGAGACTAGTTAATGGTTCAAGTTGGTAGCACACTGTGAGACTAGTTAATGGTTCAAGTTGGTAGCACACTGTGTAGACTAGTTAATGGTTCAAGTTGGTAGCACACTGTGAGACTAGTTAATGGTTCAAGTTGGTAGCACACTGTGAACTAGTTAATGGTTCAAGTTGGTAGCACACTGTGAGACTAGTTAATGGTTCAAGTTGGTAGCACACTGTGTGACTAGTTAATGGTTCAAGTTGGTAGCACACTGTGAGACTAGTTAATGGTTCAAGTTGGTAGCACACTGTGAGACTAGTTAATGGTTCAAGTTGGTAGCACACTGTGTGACTAGTTAATGGTTCAAGTTGGTAGCACACTGTGAGACTAGTTAATGGTTCAAGTTGGTAGCACACTGTGAGACTAGTTAATGGTTCAAGTTGGTAGCACACTGTGAGACTAGTTAATGGTTCAAGTTGGTAGCACACTGTGAGACTAGTTAATGTCAAGTGGTGCACCTGTGAGACTAGTTAATGGTTAAGTGGTCACACTGTGAGACTAGTTAATGGTTCAAGTTGGTAGCACACTGTGAGACTAGTTAATGGTTCAAGTTGGTAGCACACTGTGAGACTAGTTAATGGTTCAAGTTGGTAGCACACTGTGAGACTAGTTAATGGTTCAAGTTGGTAGCACACTGTGAGACTAGTTAATGGTTCAAGTTGGTAGCACTGTGAGACTAGTTAATGGTTCAAGTTGGTAGCACACTGTGAGACTAGTTAATGGTTCAAGTTGGTAGCACACTGTGAGACTAGTTAATGGTTCAAGTTGGTAGCACACTGTGAATAGTTAATGGACCGAGTTAGACCTAAGTGTCGTCATAAGTTTCTTCTGTGTGATAGCTATTTGTGTATTGTTCCAGTCATGGTATTGTGCTTTTTTATTTTTTGCAGTATTGTGCCTTGTGATTGTTTTGACCTTTATCTTGATAATTTCTTAATGTGAAAAATGCTAGGAAAGCACTAACAATAACAAAGGAACAATATCATTACATAATATCACATGTCCCCTTGAGTGGGAAGGCTATACAAGTCATGTGATGTGTAATGTTGCAGGCTCTTTGCTTTGTTAAATAAAGAATTGCTCTTAGTTGAGTTTTTTATATATGCAGCATAAAATTAACTACAGTTTTATTCTGAAGATGTGTGTGAGCACATGAAAGTGCTCAGGTTTTATTTCCTATTTCACTGTGGTACTTTTACATATTTGTAGTCATGCTTTTTATTGTGATTTCTTCCAGTATCAGCATACAATTTTTTTAAGCATAAAATTTTCCTCTACAGAGAACGTAGTCGATCTAGTGGAGCGGGAGAATTCATGGCTCCTGCACCTCGAGGATTCCGAGGCGAGTCAATCACACAAGCTGCTGAACTGGACTTCACAGATTTTGTGGTGCTCTACAAATCATTTAGCTTGAGGGCAAGGAAGGATCTCAGAGATGTATTTAAAACCTTAGCTGTGACGCGTAAGAGTCTTTCCGATAGTTCCCTTGATGATCCTACCAGCCCAGCCTCACCTCCCAGCCCTGGCCACAGGACTCCCCTTGCTAAACCAACACTTGGTCTGCTCACCAGAAATACCTCATTGGATCTTCTTGTCTTCAGAAATAATTGCCAAAAGAAAAAGATTTTCGATGCCATTGCAGCAGCAAGTATCGTCACCAATTGTGCCGGTGTGGAAAGCTCAAAGAGTCAGGTAAGGTTATATCAAACACTACTCTCTCTCTCTCCCCTCCATTTATAGGGAATACTTTGTTTTGATTATTTTCGACCACTGTCAGCCTCAGAGTCATCTCTGAATTACCAGACCCTGCCACGTGGAGGCAGGTGATTCGTCTTTAACGTCCAAATAGTATATGCGTTCTCCCATATATACATGTAACAGTGATTATGTATGAGTGATGGTGAAAGTGTTGAATGATGAAAATTTTTCCTTTCTTTTTGGCCTTTTCTTTCTTTTTGGGTCACCCTGCCTCAGTGGGAAATGGCTGATGTGTTAAAAAAAACAAAATTGTTTTGTGATGAATGGTTTGAAAAACCGACAAGTTGAAGATTGAGACACTTATGCAGCATATGGGAATCTTTATTCAGGAAACGTTTCGCCACACAGTGGCTTCCTCTTTGTATTGAACTGATGAAGCCACTGTGTGGCGAAACGTTTCCTGAATAAAGATTCCCATATGCTGCATAAGTGTCTCGATCTTCAAAATTGTTTTGATGTGCTGTTGGAGTGAGAGCAAGGAAACTCTTGTAAGGGATTCAGGGAGACCAGTTGGTGGACTTAGTTCTGGAGGTGGAAAGTACAGTACCTGTACTCTGAAGACTGGGCAGGAATGTTGCAATTCAGAAGGTCGTTTGAGTGATGGTGAATGTTTTGACTTTCATTTGTCTGAAGCTAAGAATGTGGAATTTTTCACCATTAAACATCGTGGTATTTTATGTTATCAACCAGATGTTAAGAAGGTTGATTGTGGTTCACAATCTTCGACCAGTGAAAATTTTTATTTTGGTTTTAGCATTGCAAAAGATACCATGAAAGTGAAGTTTGTATTCTCTATCTGTTGTGAGGATAATTATTATTATCTTTGGAGGAGCTAAAATAATAATGGAGGGTAACTCCAGATCCTTGGATCAAGAACTTCTCACCAACATCATCCTATTTCAAGGTTGGCAAGTTGAAAAAACAATCACAAAATTAATACTGTATATTTCATTAAAGTTAAATTGTGTGTATTTTCATAAGAGTTACAGTTGTTGCAGATATAAAATGTATAAATCAGTGCTCAAAAATAACCCACATGAAGACAAACTCAGAAAATTGATTGATCTGTGTTATTTCAACTCTGTTCTGGGATCCTCTTCTGCTGAGGGTCCCAGAAGAGGGTCAAAATATACAGACAAATTAATCTCCTGAGTTTCTGTCTCCATGTGGGTTATTACTGAGTATTGACAAGTATTCATCGCACTTCAGTTATCCATACAAGTTAACGTTTGGTAGTTTTGTAAGGTGCCTCTGCTGCCAGTCTTGAATATGAGGGTAATATTAGTACATTTCTAATTTCAAGGTATTCATTGTTTGAGTAAATTAATGAATAGTCCTCTTAGTAGTATAATTTTAAGAGTAAATTAACTCAGTCTGATGCTTTAACATTATTATTCTATAAGTAAATAGAAAATTGGATAGTGACTGGAAGTATAGGTCATGCATATAGCAGGAACACAGTTCAAGTCTCCATCCATTCCTCTGTTTATTTGTTAAGTCATTACAACTTATCTGGAGATTATTAGATATTCACAGGAAAGTGCTGAACCTATAAGGGTCATACTGCCCCTTGGGAATGAGAGGTAATAGGGTTTGATCCTGAGAGAGGGAGAGCCAGGGGACCAATATTGCAGGGTGCTGCTTTAAAGAGTCATAGAATTGTTGAACATTTCTCTGCACTTGAGGTGTAACAGGTGTATTCCTCGACTCATATTTCAGTTCCTGCATCGAACATCCTCGCAGGAACTGGTATGTACGGTTCATTATTATATATCTATGTCAGGAATATATGTTATGGTTATGCCTTTTCCCTGTTGTTCCATTTGAATGATATCTCAAGAATGCCCCAATAGACTTCACACTTGAAATATATTCAGGACCCATAGATATTTTTTACATTTATTTCAGTAAATGTTCAAACTGACCTTTGACTTGTGTGAGACGTCTAGTGGAATGACCAGTTTAGTCACTGCTTACAGTCTTATAAATTATTCTTATGTTTTGATGATTGAGAAAGGCTGGGTATGAGGACAATGCAGTAGAAGCAATATGGCAGGCCAGTAGGCCTAGTGCATTGCTCCTCTGTTGGTATATTAACTGACTCTTACTACTTGAATTTTTTTTGTGGAGTCACCTTAAATCTATTGTTTATCAAACTCATTCAAAAACCTTTGGGGATTTTAGGCATGAAATTATAAATGAGTATTCCAAAATCATGCCTTTTTGCATACAAAATATTCTAGTTCAGTTTTAAAAACAACTGAGAAATGCATCAGAGTTGATGAAGGTCAGTAAATCTAAGACACAAGGCTGAGTGACCTTTATGTGTAAAGTTTTTACTAAGCAGGATCTGAATTTTCCACAAAGTTTTTCTCTGTCTTTACTATATATTGGTACACTGTCTGTCTTTAATTGACTGAAGACAGTTTGATCATTCACTCGAAATAAATAGGAAAGCTGAATTTAATGGACTAATAAGGAGAAATGGGTGGCTGGTAATGATGATTGTGGTGATAACATTAACAGAGTCTTGTGTGCCAGTGGACTTTATCTCTTGTTTCTGAACCAATTAACCCAGCAGATTTTTTACATTTTTTCCACAGTCCATTAAATTGAGGTTTCACATGAATCCTGAATCATGTACCATCTTGTATAGTGGAATGATACAGCACATACCTTATACAGTGGAACCTCGGTACTCGAACAGCTCCCTACTCGAACAATTCAGTATCCGAACACTTTGTTCTGTAAAAAATCGCTCGGTAGTCAACCATTTGCTCAACATTTGACCGAACAAACACTACCTGCCAGAACTTCGCTGTAAACTCTTTCATGTATCTTTGCATTTTTTGGTGCTTTCTTTTTATATTATTTGTATAAATAAGTCACTCGGACAGCCTTCTGGAACAAATTAAGTTTGAGTGCCGAGGTTCCGCTGTTTTGCTTTTGAATAATGTAGAACCTGGGCAGCGATTTATGACAGATGTTATTTGATTTTGTGAGGGAGACTCTTTATTCCTATATAAATATAGCAAAATGGGAGAAGGTAGGGGTCATTCTAGGAAAGTATAGAGGGACAGGGGGGGGGGGAGTAAAAGAGGTCTTATGTGCAAGGGGCTTGGACATGCAGCAGGTATGTGTGAGCATGTTAGATAGGAGTAAATGGAGACGAATGGGTTTTGGGACTTGATGTGCTGTTGGAGTGTGAGCAGGGTAATATTTTATGAAGGGATTCAGGGACACTGGTTAGCCAGACTTGAGTCCTGGAGGTGGGAAGTACAGTGCCTGCACTTTAAAGGAAGGGTTTCGAATATTTGCTGTTTTGAGTGACAGCTGAGCTGTTGTATCTGGGCACCTCTGCAAAGACGGTGATTATGTGTGAATGATGGTGAAAGTGTTTTTCTTTTTTTGGGTCACCCTGCCTCGGTGGGAGACAGCCAGCTTGTTGAAAGAAGAAAAAAATATTTATAGCAAAATAGACATTTTGATTTTGGTCTGGTGCTCACTGCTTATTATCATTAGATAAGTTGTTCATTTTTCGAGGACACATGGTCTCATATCTAATACCTATACTGTGTTACTTTATACTGTTTGTTATAATTTATTGCTATAATTACAGCAGTGTATGATTATTTTGCATATTTTTATGGGATGTGCTCAGCCTGTTGGAAGATACAATAGCTAATTTATATTTTATAAACTCAGGGGACCATGGGAGTGTGACCACCATGAAGTATCATGGCTGGTCACTCATAGCTCTGAATGATTTTCTTATCTCTAATTTGCTGGTTAATTGTAATCTCTGGCATAGCTCCACAGTCAGTCAAGCTAGCTGCTTGAAATTAGACACAGCTATAGCTTAAAATCATATTCTCGATGTATATTTTTATTAGTTTGGCCTCACTGTTGTTCATTAGAACATACAAAATGTAGTATAAAAAATATGGAGATCAGTTATGCATGATATTAGATACTGTATACAACACATGTGATACATTATATACTCTATATACATAAATATACATACACATATAAATAAATACATACATTGTATATAAGTTGTACTGGTAAGTATCTACACATGAGGAAGACATATGGTAAGCTCTTTTATAAGCTCAACAATATAGTGAGATTTTTTTGTAAATGTGACTGAAAAAGAGCATCCAGTACTGAACATTGCTGACCATGACCTTCCCACATGCTGAGCAATTTTACAAGTAAATTTTCTATGGCATTTACCAAAAAATACACTATATATAGGAGCTTTATAATACTGTACCGTAAATAATTGATGAAATGGTAATAGTATATAATTTGATTTGAAAGAGGCTTGATGTTTTCTAGCCAAGCTTAATGTAGAATTTATTTCTGTTTAGTATTTAAAACTGCTCTGCTGCCTTGTTCTTTAAAAATTTGATTTAACTTTCTCATATAGAGTAGCAACCAATGTAACTTGCCACAACAGTAGTGTGTGTTGAGTGTGTAGTCCTAAGCAAGTGGATATTATTATAGTGATGTTTTAGAGAGTTTAAGTCTAGTAAAATGTTTCAAAGGCTCAATGCACGTGACCAGACAAGAATGACATTGGTGCACACTATCGTTGTAATCTCAGCTCTCACACTCGCTCTATTTTGCCCAAAATATGTTACATACTAGTGGCTTTCTTTTGTACCTGACAGTTTTATTACATGTAAACTATATTATATTTATACCTCTTAAATATAAATAAAAAATTTAAGAGACCGGGATGCAATCCCCAGTACGAGTGAAAACATTGGGCTCGTTGCCTCACATCTTCCCATGGTTAGATGACTTGTGTGATGCACAGCCTGTGGGAGAGAATTATAAGACCCTGGTGGAAATAACACACAGTCCTTGGTGACATCCAGACTTTATTAGGTTATCCTGGGTTTCCATCTCTCCAGGTAAATAGTCCAAATAAAATCTTCCAACCTTTAAAATTTTGAGTGGAATCTTATGAATAAATCTTTCAAATAATATTTTTACTAGAAATTTAAGACATGAGTTACAGAAGGTGATTGGTGTCCACAGTATGACTCATTCTTATCTGATCTAATTGTAATTACCTATTTGAGCTTATAAGTGGTGAGCTCAAGCTCTTGGCTCTAGCTTGCAAGC